CCACCTTGGGAAACGACGCGGAGCAAAAAGGCACATAGCCACCGGGCTCTGCGTCTTCTCTGCCCCGCGGGGACCTTTGCAAGGAAATGGGCCCAAACCAGCAGGTTTCAGGCCATTCCCTGCCCTGAGACTTCAGTGTTTCTGGCTCAACAGGGGCAATTTAGGGGGTTGGGAGTAATTAATCCAAGAGCGGGTGGACGAGACCTTACCGAAGCGGTAGGACCTGTCAGAACAGCTGCCGCTTCAGAAGAATCGCTCTTCGCCAGCGGAGAAAATTGCCCGGCTATTTTTAGTGTGCCAGCTAATTAAATATATAGACAATTTAGCATCTCACGGAGAGGCTCTCCAGGAGAAATTCTGCCGGCAGCAGAAAAGCCCGAATAAACCCCTCGGGGTCAGAGCGTCACCCCGGGGCTGCTGAGGCCGGTGGCTGGATTTCATTCACGTCCCCAAATCGGCGATGGACGGCGGTTTTTTCAGCGCTTCAGGTTTTGTGGGCGCTCAGCCTGGTGCCCACTTAAATATGAAGTGGCTCCTATTGGCAGCCCTTTTTATTTTAATGTGGGTCTTGACGTGACTCAGTTTCCTCTCCTGGTTTGCTTCTCCTGGGGAACGGACAGAGGGGGCTGAATTCATTAATGCTCACGGGCAGCCTGGATGCTGCGGTGATGGTACCCAATGGCTTGAGGGAGGTGAGGGGGGGACCTTGCTGCGGCCTTGCCAGCAAAAGGTTTTCCCACCGTGGGAAAAAAGTTTTCCCACCAGAAATGCAGCCCAGGTTGCATTCAGCTTGATTCGACACGATTTTGCTGAACAAAAGCCAAAGAGAAACACCGAGGACGGAGAGCGAGGAACAAAAATCAGCGCAAAAAGCCACCGGGCTGCAACGGCACAGCGTCCATCGGGAAGGAGGGGTTTCTAACCCTTTGCACGAACACTGGGGAAATTTTGATGCTCTTTTTAAACAAAACCCCCTTTTTTCAGGTAGGAGAAGGCGCTGAGAGAGCCACCCTGAGTTTCACGGGCCGCTGCGGGAGGGCAGGGTATTTATCACAGGCCACCACTTTATTCCATGCTGTGCACCATGATCTGGGAAGTCCCAGGCTCATTTTTTTTGTCACGTCTTTGGCTTTGGCTGAATAGTCAAAAATTCTTAGTTGAATTCTTAAGTACGTCAGGCAGGGATAAATGTATGTGTCTATAAGTATGCTTGAAAAATCCAGTTGTGTTGGCTTAACTGAAAAATAAGCCCAGGTGACTGGTGATGTTTTATCCCCTGCTGCTTGGGTGATTTATTAATATTTCTTTCCTACCGTTAGCGAGTCAGGTCTCATCTGCTTCTTCTGAGCTCATCCGAAAAAAAAAAAAAATACCCAACTGGCATCCGGGGCAGACGGAGGGGCGTTATATAGGGCGCGAGGCACGGG